GGAAAAGACCATCAAAAGCCTGCCAGTGTTGAGGTGAATGGTATCCACTGCCCTCCTTGCATCCAGAAATCCAGACATTTTGTCATACAAGGCAATCAACACCAGGACTTCTCTTCCTTGGTTTCCAAAGAAATGGTTCCAGAAACTGGCAATTTAAGATGAACACTAAATCCCACTGAATTTAACATAAAATAATGAGAGACAGTAGTAATTCACATCTGTACAGTTGTATTAATAATAAATAATAAGTATCAGCAATTATGGGAAGACATGACTGTTAGTGCTATAGCACAAGAGGAGAAAATTTCTTATCTATTTGCAGAGCAGCAATAAAGTAAATGTGAAATACTTTAGGTCCCTTTATCTTATACATCAGACAAAACTTTATCTCTCTGTCTTCTAGAAAGCCAAAAGTACAGGGCAGTGTTTTGTAACAAACCAGACAGTGTGGTTTCACATCTGTGTGAGATACCAGCACAGAATCCTGTAAAAAATCTGCTTCCAAGCTCCCACTTCATCAAATTGCTATGACCAGCAATAACAGAACACAAGCTAATACCAGACATAAAGAAGACTGTTTAGTACAGGTGGTGAAATGGTACTTTGTCACTCTCAAAAAATAACAACAAAAAAAAGGCTGAGATGTTTGTATGTTATTTTCAAAACAATCCTAAGTTAAAATATACAGATGTCCTAGCATTCTCCAAGTACTTGTTTTTAACTGGAAATTTTCAAATACTTAGTAGCAAGAAAGTGACTCCACTAATTACAAGAAACCCACAGCATTCCATGAGCACTTTTTCTGGGAATTCAAAGGTAACCGGATTCTGACTAATGCATGATTTATTACACCATTAAGTTGACACTTTATGTACTTTAAGAAGCTACATTATCTGAGTAACAGTTAAATATAACTTATTTGCTTACACAAAGGCGAATAAGCTAAAAATAGTACAAGGAAGTTTTAATGCAGATAAAAGTGTCTTTTACTGCCATAGTCATTTCTGTGAAGAACAAAACTAACTGAAGTAGGAAAAAATCAGCACAAACAGTTGTTACAGGGTTGAACTAAACTATCTCGGGTTTTGAAGTACTAAGCAAAATTGTGCTAGAATTAATATCACAGAGAAAGAATGTTATATAGATTTTGTGTAGTCCTTAATATAAAAAACCAAGCCAGTGGTGTAGAATCATGTAGATTATACTGTAATCATCTATGAGAAAGCCTGTAGGACAATAATGCAAATTCAGTGAAAATTGTCAGAGATCTTAGAGCAAGTAGATTCAATGGCTATAATCCAGTCAGGGCTCTCAGCTAACTATATATATAGTCATCTGAATCAAGTTCCCCAACCCAAACATCGAAGACTCATCAGTATGTTCCCAAGACTGATGTGATCACATATCAATGTTTGGAATAGGGATTGCTTTTCTTCAGTCCTGTTTTTAGGAGGTACTTACAATATGTTTTCTAAATCTTCATCTCAACCATGAAGAAAACAAAGTAAACCTTTTTTTAAAAAAAGTTAAAGTGACAATAAATACAATTCTAGGAAATGCTGGTTTAAACAAAATAGCATTATCAAAGTACTGGCAACGCTACAAGTCCAGCACTATGTGAATTTGAGCGGCAGCCTGGGTTTATTCAGTACAGATTCTTGAGTAACAGACCTGTATTGAGGAACACAGCATTTCTCTAATGTCAGAGCATTCCTTACAGATCACCTGCTCAAGGTGTTTTCATGTATAAGTTCTGAAATCTAACAAAAATCACAGTGTGTGTGCTGCTTCGTGACTGCTGTGTGATGGGGTTTTAATGTCTGGAATAGGAAAGCAGAAAATCAGTAAATTAACACAAAACTCACTGTCCTTCATTTTATGCCAAACACATTCATCTTATATAAAAGTTCTATTGTAACAATTACAGTCAGCCTTCAGAAACGAGGCTCATGGTGTGTTGTATTTCAAACTAAATTGCATAGTGACTCGAGTTATGCTCTGTGGTACTATATAGCAACTGAACTTCAAATAGAGACTTGAAACTATACTTAAAATTTCTATATGTAAATGTATCTTACAAAGAAATATTTTATTCCCAAATCTCTCCATCTCCCTGGAGTTGTCCCATCTCCTGAACAAAAGCACCAATTCAGCACCAAAGCCTTAAAGATCAGAAAACCAACACAGAAAATTATTATTGGACTCACTTGCTCTAAATTTGTTGAAGCCTCTAAGCACTGGAATGCAAGAAAAGAATTCAGTCAACTTAGAGAACATAATAAACACCCTTCCATCTCCATGAAATAGTGTTTTTTAATATTAGCCACCCTAAAGTGACTAGCATAAGTGTTTTCAGCTACTCTCTGTACTGGAAACATGCAAGTTTGCTCCCTTGGCTAAGGCTTCCTCTCATTTTGGTTTACATTTTCACAACTAAATATAGATGTTGGACCTTTTGATTTTCCCATCGCCGTAAAAAAGAGTAGAATTCACCAGTTTGTGAGGATTAAAGACGTAAATTCTTAAATCAAAGTAGAGAAAACAAGAGGCAGCAAAGAGAATTAGGGGAAAGGAAGTGAGGAAAAAAACACAGGCATTTTTAAGACACTGTGTAAAGAAATACAAAGAAGTACAAAAACTTAATGTAGTATAAATTAAAAAAAAAAGTAAGTGAAGAGCTCTAATAAAAAGTGTGATATGATTCAGACCACAGGAGCAACGGACAAGCTGGGAACAAATCAGAAAGGTTATTAAATTCAGAGATGTCCAGAGCTGATTATCTGAAGAACTATTTCTAGCAGAGTGATATGGCAGGTGAGAAAGTTTCAGCTGAAAGTTACTGAAGAAAGTAGTAGGGCTTATGATTCTGGAGATGAATAGATGCAATTCTGCCCAGCACTCCTCCTCTAAAGTGCATATCAAAAGCTTTGCAATTTTTAAAAGCTGTATCTTATTACATTCCAAGATAAGGTTTGAAAGAATTAAAAAACCTGAGGGATGCTGAATCAGAAACAATGAAAATAAATTAATGTAGCATTCAAATGAAATATATCCCACATAATGCCTCACAGGGTAGGTCCCTCCTTCCAGTCTTGCTACTTCTCCAACAGATTTCAGCAGCCTTCTGGTTTGGTACAGACTGTATACAGCCTCTCAGAATCCCCAGGAAAACACTCACTTTTTCTATTACCAAAGTTCTGTTTGCATGTCTATTCCCTCTTCTTCTCTAAAATCTCCTAGACAGCTCCTCACAGAAGTCCCTGCTCTGTCACATCTTTTTTATTGTCTTTTATTGTCATTTCCTCCACAGGCCCTCAACAAAAAGGAACAATCTTTCCTATACCACAGAGGTTACATATGACATAGGCACCGACATGCCCTCAGTCACAAGGCTGAAGAAGCAGCAACAGGTAATTGATCTATTTTGCATAGTTTCATCAACTAAACTAAGTCAAGTAAGACTTCTTGTTGCAATCTGAAGGACAAGAATCCCACAACACTATTTTTCAGATTGTCCACTATTTTTTTTAATACCTATCTGACACACCCTGTTGTTCCCTGACTGCAAACTTCTTTGATTATATGATGTATTACTGTATTTTAAAAGGTATTTCACAGGCATAACAACGTTATTTCAGTACAGGCACATCAGATGCCAAGTCACTGGTAGGTAGCACTCTGTCAGT